CTAAAGTTGGAGCTGACCATACTCAAATTAAAAACTATAAGCCCATTTCACTTTTGAATGTGGATTATAAAATCTTTTCAGCTATACTGGCAGATAGACTTAAATTCTTCCTTAGCAAATTTATACACCCTGAACAGAACAGCTTCCTGCCGCAAAGGCATTTGAAAGATAATGTTAGAATTATTTTGGATGCCTTATAATATTAGGAAGCCCGGCCAGACAAACAAGTGGCCTTTATGTTTCTCGACGCACAAAAGGCTTTTGATCAGGTTAATTGGAAGTTTATGTTGTCACAATTAGAAAATATGAAGTTTGGAGAAAACTCCATTAAGCTCCATCTATATAGTTATACAAACTGACGTTCTTAATATAAAGGGAATGTTTTACAGCAATGATGATGAATCATAAATGGCTAATTAGCAATAATTCCATCCACCGAATTCCACCTAAATCTTACTAAAATTAAGTTTCTTAAGTTTCTATAAAATGCATAGATATTTAAACTATAGCTATCAGTAACTTTTCACAATTTTAGGGCAAATTTCTAATAATACTATTTTTTAAAAAGATGTTCAGTTTTTTGTAGTCAGCTTCATAAATGAGGCAGAGTTGTCTCTGGGATCTGGTGAATGGCCCACACTGGATCCATCCTGAAATCCAAGCATGATTTTGGCATAGAGTGTTTGGAGTATGAGGCACTTAAAACCAGCCAGAGACAAGAGATCCCTTTCTAGTTCAGAGAGTTTGCTGCAAATTTCCCATGTTGTTTAAATGTTTTTCAGCTAGCTGTAGAAAACAGAGCAAGTCATCTTTGCAGGCAGCAGTGGCGTGCAACCTTTCCTGCTAGCTTTTCCACTGTTTGGGGAAGTCAGAAGGGAAGATTATAAATGACGATCACATGATCATAGGGAGCCTGGTAACCAATCATAAGTATGAACAAGCAACCATACTGCGATTACATGACTATAACTTAGAGTATGTCATAAGTCATACTTTCAAAAGCTAACCTTCATTTAGCAGCAATGTAATTTCAAATAGTCTCTTAACTTTATTAAGTTCTTTATGTTCATTAAGCAAAGACAATCTATAACAATATTTGTTCTGTGAAATACCTAGATATAAATAACATATGTTTGAAGATATTCACAGGTAATTGCCATAAATGTGTTTAACCTTCTTTTATAAAATATTGGGAGATTTTTACAGACTTGTTTGAAAAAAATATACTGAAAATAATTCTTACCTAGAAGAAAACTGAATTAGTGCATTTTGGAGAGTCTGCCTGATTTCAAGAAGAAAAGATTCATCATCACTTAGTGTATAATACCAATACTGGACATAGTCACGCAAGGAAAATTGAATGATCTGAAATATATACATTTTAAAAAAAATCAAACATTAAAGCATTCATAAAGCAATTACATTTAACAAATATTTAGCAAATCAACTTAATAATATAAAAATTATGGTTATAATGATCTAGTTAGTTTGCATTACTTTATAAAACTGCATAAAAATCTATGAAACTTCAAACTGTTAACACTGATCACTATTTCAAATATTTATGACAATCATATAATCCCTTTACTTTACAGGTAGTCTTCAACTTACAACCAGAATTGAGTTCAATATTTCAATTGCTAGGCAAGGCAGTTGTTAAGTGAGTTTTGTTCCATTTTATGATTTTTTTTTGCCACAGTAATTAAGCAAATTACTGCAGTTATTAAGTGAATCATGTGGTCATTAGATGAATCTCACTTTCCCCATTGACCTAGCTTGGAAAAGCCAGTAGGAAAAGTTACAAATAGTGATCACATGACCCCAGGACAATGCAACAATCATAAATATATACCAATTGACAAATGCCTGAATTTTGATCACATAAGTATGGGGAACTACAACATACCTAAGTATTAAAACCAATGATAAATTAACTTTTTCAGTGCTGTTATAAATTTGAAAGGTCACTAAATAAATGGTTGTAAAGTCAATTACTACCTTTACAGCTTTTCAAATTAGGAATGAGAATTTCATCTTGTCCATATTTATGAGCAAATTAATCTAATTATTCCTAAAAACATTTCAACAGATACAATTATGCTGTGTTCTCTTCTGAAGTGGAACTGAACAAATATGAGTACATGAAGAAATAACATGCAATTGTCATAAATCAATTCTTACATCCTTAGCTTGAATCCCACAAGATAAATGGAACAATAGTTCTTTTAATTTTCTTTCTTAAGTCTGCTAACTTGATTATGTGTGTGTGTATGCAATCTTCATTTAATTTCCACTGCCAGCATCCCAATATAACTGTACTAATTTGAAGTTTTTTCAATTATCCTCTTTTGCCT